AGGTCTGACCATCAATGATTTATTTATAGAGGCACCAGCCATCCATGTCCATGTGCTGTTTTAGCCTAATATTATAGGTATGGAAACATGGGTGGAATGGCACAGATTTGTTTGGGGTTTTTTTGCTCACTGTAAGTGTGTGGCCTTGAGCAGGGTCAACTTGATCTGCTGACCTGTAGTGTCTGTGTGACCTGTGAATGCTGTGTGGCCTGTGATATTCTTCAGAGAAGGAGAGAAGAGTTGTAAAGTTTGACAAGTTTGACGGTGTAGAATTAGAAATGTATTTTGAAATTTGTTCATTTGAAAGAAAAAGACCTTCTTTTGTTGTTTCCCCAATGACCGGAAACGGAACATAGGCCTTCTGTCTATCGTCGTATGACGTTCTTTAAAGGTATATCAAGCTCGAGCAGGCCTTCTGTCAATCGTCGTATGACGTTCTTTAAAGGTATTATTACCTGTATTACCTGTACTGGGCAACAACGTCATTGCACACCGGACAGGTCCGTAAGTGCTCAGTTCCCCCCAGCACCAAAGCCCGCAAGGTATCCATACTCTTCAAAGGTATATCAAGCTCGAGCAGTCCCAAGTAGATCTATTTTATTGATATTTAATTAATTTATTACTATAATTTTTTTTTCGTAATGTTTATTTTAATGTTCAGACAATATCCATGTTTTGTCCCAGGAAGCAAGACATAATATTGTTTTGTGAATGGAAATGAATAGACAGTTAGAGACATAATAGATTGGCTTGCATTCTTCAAGTTTGGAGGTCAGTTTTAATTTTAAATGCAAAAAAATGTAGCGGGAAAAGTCGATGCGATTAAATTAAAATTATGCGAAGTACAAGGATTGTGCCCCCAACCATATAATCTGTGAAGGTATTGCTCAGACAAGACTGGTGGCCGGAGATCCTTTCTTCACATAGAATCTCTGGCTCTCTTTGGTATACATCAGTAGGTCTGGGTTTTTTTCCTCTCCGCTAGAAATGACATTTTTTCCTCTTGTGGTGAAGAAGTTACGTTTCTTTCTCACATATATATATATGCATATATATATATTTCCATGCCTTGAGTTTGAATCTCCATGAGATGTATGACCCAGTTTTTCTCCCTGTACAACGCCTGCCACACAACTTTGTACGGTTGTACCACACTGGGAGATGGTAGGCTCGGACCACAGTGGTCGGTGGACTATATTATAGTCATGTAATAGCTGTATTCTCCTTAGCTTTGC